AATATCAACAAGACGGTGTTTTTAGTCAACTACAATTCCTCATGAAGGAGGAATTTCATACCAATCACATTTAAATAAAACAACCGTCTGTCGATGTCTGGAGCCAACATATTGAAGCCTAATCACTTCCTCCAATAACCCATAAAAATCCAAATCTGATTCTGTTCTTGTGGTTCCCATGATACACACACCGCTATTCATTGTTCTCTTATTTCTTCCACATGAGACCGTGTGAAATCGAAAATCGTTTACCCAAAAGTCTTTATAGCATGTAACCATCCAAGATGGGCCATAAGCCAAACAAATCAAATGCTCACCAATGCCATTAAACTCATCATGTAAAACCTATATCAAATGAGTTATTTTATTAGTTATAAGTATATAATAATTAATTAATAATAATTAAAAAAATTGAATAAACTTACCGATTTTTGAAACCATGACACAAGATAATTGGAACGTTTCATTTGTATTTGTTGGGGAGTCATATTTTGACATTCTTCGTCTTCGAAAACCCTAATCAAACATCAAGTATCCATTATAGTTATGTGTAAATTAAAATAGATTATTTTCTTCCTCAAATGCTGTTAAGGATAAGGATTAAAGAAATGCACTAACTCAATCCATCCCTTCAATTCTTCACAATTCATTAGAACATAATACATTGTAGCATTACACTCTTCCATTGTCAACACTCGTTGTTGTTGTAGAGAATCAATTGGTTTTCCAAGATTATTGAAAATTGAAAGGCCGTTATTAAGAGGAGGGCCTAAGCCAACAAGATTTCTAGGGATGCGATCACCTCTTGTCTCAACTTCTCCTTGAAAATAAAGTGAGATAAAGTATGAGATCTCACATATTGATCCTTCTGGACGGGCTTTATTTTTCACCAAACTCTTCAATCCATGCATTCATCTATTTCATGAAATTAAAATTAAATAATTAATATATTAAAAACCATATTATATTTTATAATATAGATATAAAATATTAAACAAAATTTACTATTTGAATAATACCTCTCAAATGGATACATCCAATGGAATTGCAATGGTCCCCCCACCTTGGCTTCATATGGAAGGTGGATTGCTAAATGCTCCCTCGAATCAACAAAAGGAGGGAAGATTCTTTCAAGTTGGCATATTATTTCTACAATCTTCCCATGCCAAATCTCCATATCTATAACCCGAATGGTTGGAGAACAAAAGACTCCAAAAAACTCACTAATCTCAATAAGTGCTTCCCAAACTTACTTTGGAAGAAAATCACAGAATGCAATTGGAAGGAGACTTTGCATGAATATGTAACAATCATGACTCTTCATCCCACCATGTCACGCCTCATAACCCAAATCCGAGGGCGTAACAGATGCCATGCACTCGTGAACGGATCCCACAAATGCACAAGGCTCGAAACCTACTGAGTTCTTAATTTCCAATTTGGATAATTTAAATCTAAAAGCTCAGGTAAAATCTTAATTTCCATTACCAAAAATTTACTAGTCAAGATGTACAATAGTTTATAAGATAGTTATGGCTATAACCAAGGAAACTTTGTACACAAAAATGGTTATTTAGGTCAACCATGTGAGATTAGTGGCCTAACTCCAAAAGATCTAAGTCCAAAATAATGCCTAGCCGTCTAGCTCGTCACTCCCCCGACTCCCCATGTGTCGAGTATCACTACCTGAAATGGTGGACAAGGAAAAACTAGGTAAGATAAAATATCTTAGTAAGTAAAAATATGGATAGCCCGTGAATAAAATTTTAGCATGCTTGATAAACAGTTTAACATAAAAAAACGTTCAATGATAAACCGTTAACGTAGAAGAAAATTCAGTAGTAGTAATCTCATTTATAAGTCATAGCCAATGTTTAACAAACTCCCACTAGCAGTGTAATATCCCAAAATTTTGTGATATTTTAGCATTTGAGTAAGGACCTTGGTGATAGAAAATATTATTGAGGGACTTAATAGCAAAATTTTCAAAGTTTAGGGACTTAAAAGAAAACAAATTAGGATAAGGATAAGCTGCTTTCCTTTTTCTTTTCTTTTTTTTCTTTCTTTTCTTCCTCATCAGACCTGCGTGTTTCTGCTCCTCTTTTTCTTCTCTCGACAGGCCCCCCCCAAGCCCTCGAGCCACCAACTCATTTCTTGAGAAATTGGTGACCAAGCTTGGGATTTTCTCCTTCTTTTCTTGATAAGTAACAAGATTTGGGACTTAGAACACTTTCCAAAACCCAGAAATTTTCCAGATCTGCACTGTTTTCTTCTTCTTGTCTGCCGGATGCTATGTGGGTGTGAGATTTTTGGGTTTTTTCTGGTAAGATTTAGCCATGAATCCCTCTCTTTAACCTTGATTTAGGTTGGGTTTACTTTAATTGCTTTTATTCCCTTCCAATTTCTGGTAGAGCCATGAGCATCCCCCTCTGCAATTCCGTCAGCCCCTATGCTTGCCTGGTGCGGGTTTTGCTGGCTGGAAAAAAAAAAAAAAAGGAATTCTGGTATGTGCTAGCTTCTCCAAGGCTGAATTTTACTCATTTAGTAGTTGAAATTTATACATGTAGCTACTGCCTTCTTGCCCGAATTTTCTGTCGAAACAAGGGAAGAATTGGCAGTAAATTAAATGTGTTTTAAGCTTGATTATGTAGAATTTAGCTTGATTTGGCTGCTATGATTTCTGGAGAGAAATCCCGTGTGTGAGTGGTTTTGCCAAGCCATTTTCTCCATTTTTCTATCCCGAGAGTTGGAAGCCATATGCATGGGTGTTGTATGTATATATATATATATGTAATTGTGTATATATATACACAATCCAGTTGTGATGCCCAATTTTGAAGAAAATAAATAAATAAGTAAAGAAATAAATGTCGCATTATGGGGGTTAATTACCGGCAATATTAGAAAGGAGTAAATATGTGGTTTCATATGGGTATTAATTCTTGAATATTTGGTTAGGTTCTGGATCCTTCGATCACTTTAGTGCGTGGATTGAGTCTTCGGTTTTATGCGAGTGAAGTAAGTAAATTATGGTAAAGCCCTTTGATTTTAAAGCATGTTTTAAATTGTTTTTGAGATGGTGGCAAGGTTTAAATTGATTTTATCAGCATTTGAGTGTGATTAAACTGAAATGAAAATTGTGATGATTTTTATGAAAATTATTATTTTTTGGAATTGAGCATGATTGGAATGAAAATGAGAATTTCATTGTTTTTCTGGAGTAAAGCATGCCTACTTGGAATTTACTAAACTGCTCTGATGATTTGAAAAATTTTGTAAATTCTAAGTTTTTCTATTAAATCCATGCTCACATGGGAATCTTCCGATTTATTTATGAAATTTGAGATTGATTGTGAATTACAGATTTTTCTGGAAATCCTGCATGGTTTTGTCTCGGATATAGTCATGATTACTGACGCTAGCCAGTGGGAGTTTGTAAACGCTGGCACATGTCGACATGTTTACTGATATGACCAGTTCATTCTGTAATCTCACCAATGGGATAATACATTGGTAATTACTGACGCCTGTCAGTGGGAGTTTGTTAAACATTGATACTTTTGTAACCCTGCCAATGGGGTTAAACATTGGTTATTACTGACGCTTGCCAGTGGGAGTTGTTAAACACTCGTACCATTACTGACGCCTGCCAGTGGGAGTTTGTTAAACACTAATCATGACTTATAGACGAGACTACTACTGAATTTGATTCTGCATTAACTGTTTGTCATTAAACGCTTTACTATTAAACTGAATTTGATTCTACATTAATGGTTTATCACTGAATATTTTGTACGTTAAACTGTTTATCAGGCATGCTAAAATTTTTCCCAAGGGTTATCCATATTTTTACTTATTGAGATATTTTATCTCATAGTTTTCCTTGTCCACCATTTCAGGATGCGAAACCGAGGGAAGTGACAAGGTAGAAGGCTAGCCATTCTAATTGGATATAAGTTTTAGATTTTATCATCCTTTGGTAAGGTAGATTTTATTCTTGAGATTTTGTGATTTAAATAAGTTTCGAGCCTTGTGCACTTGTGGGACCCGTCTCACGAGTGCACGGCGTCTGCCACGTCCCCGGATTTGGGTTTTGGGATGTGACAAGCAAGCGTCAATAATAACCAGTGTTTAACAACTCCCACTGGCAGGAATCAGTAATAACCAGTGTTTAATAAACTCCCACTGGCAAGCGTCAATAATTACCAATGTATTCGCCCATTGGCAGGCGCTAATAATTACCAATGTATTATCCCATTAGCAGGATTACAGAATGAACCGGTCATATTAGTAAACATGTTGACATGTGCTAGCGTTTGCAAACTCCCACTAGCGGGCGTTAATAATCATAACTATATCAGAGACAAAACCATGCATGATTTATAGGAAAAATCTATAACTCACAAATCAATCTCAAATTTCAGAATAAACCAGAAAAATTCCATGTGGATATGGATTTAACAGAAAAATCAAAACTTACAAAATTCTCAGATCATCAGAGCAGAAGTAGACATGCTCTACTCAATGAAAATGAAAATAATTCTATTTCAAACCAATCATGCTCAGTGCTAATAAAATCAATTTAAACCTTGCCACCATCTCAAAAACAATTTAAAACATGCTTTGAAATAAAAGGGCGTTACCATAATTTACTTACCTCAAATCATGTAATACCGAAAACTCAAGCCAAGTGCTCGGGTGACAAAACACTCAAGAACCTAATCAAAATTCCCCAGAATTAATACCGTACTACCACAAATTCAAAGTGAAAACATCATTAGGATCATCCCTTAATCAAGAAGCTATTTATATTAACCTCCACATGACCGGACACCTCTAATTTCATTCTTATTTTAAAAACTAATTATTTAATCCTATTCCATGATTGCCAATCATTAATCCCAATAGGCAAATTGTCACACCCCAGAACCCAAATCCGGGAACATAACAGACGCCGTACACTTGTGAGAGGGTCCCACAAATGCACAAGGCTGGGAACTTATCATACCACAATCTAATACCACAAAATCTGAAGATAAAAATTATAAAATTTGCTCTAATATCATAAAATCTCCAAATAAAGTCTAGTTTACAAGATCATGATTTATATCTAAAATTTATGTTCAATTTATAGGATGGTTAGCCTTCTAACTCGTCACTCCCCTCGTTTTTCCCCGTTCTTGACCTCGCTTCTTGAAATGGTGGATAAGGAAAAACTATGAGATATCTCAGTAAGTAAAATATGGATAGCCTTTAATTAAACTTATAGGATACCAACAAGTATAACCATGAAAAATAGATACGAGTACGAAAACAAAATAGATGTTTTCTCTATAGGTCATGGCCAGTGTTATAAATCTCCCATTGGCAGGCACACGATTTACTAGTGTATAATCCCACTAGCAGGATAACATGAACGAACTGGTTCTATTAGTAACATGTCGACATGTGCTAGTGTTTATAAACCTCCCACTAGCGGGCACGTGAATAACATGACCATATCGGAGACAAAACAGGCAGAAGTTAACAAGAAAATCATAATTCACAAATAATTTCCAGATCATCAGGACATTTAAGTAAACTCCAAGATGGCATTCTCAAATCAATAAAAAGAATAATAATTTCATTTCAAATTGATCATACTTCTGTAAAATGGGTTTAGTCCCGCCACCACTTAAAAAACAAGCTAAAATGTGCTTTAAATCGGAGAGCGTTACCATAATTTACTTATCTCAAATCCGGAACTCAAGCCAAGTACTCGGGTGACAGAACACTCAAGAACCTAATTAAAATACCCCAGAATTAATACCGTACTATCACAAATTCAAAGTGAAAACTTCATTAGGATCACCCCTAATCACGATGCTATTTCTATTAATCTTTATATGACCGGGCATCTCCAAATTTGTTCTTATATCACAAACTAAATATTTAATTCCCGTTAATTGTTGGCCATTAGTGCATGAACAGTATCCGTGAACAGTAATCACGCAGTGAACAGTGACTGCAACTTCCAAAAATTAGCAAAACCATAGCTAATCTTATGGGATTTTTCTCCAAAATCTCACAGCAGTCAATTAACACTCAATCACATAAATTCCACTTGAATTAATGCTTAAATTTTGTCCTAAAGCTACCAGAATTCATCCCCCATTTTAGCAAAAATTCAAACAACATAGGGCAGCAATCAATTGGACTAAATTCAGCAACTAATGAATAATTTTAGGCTTAAAAGGGCTGTCACATACCAAAATTTAGCAGCAAAAACCGGAGCTGCAGTTTAGGGGAAGGCTGGCGGAAGTGCAAGGGAAAAATCAGGAAATCTACCGAAAATTAGGAGAAACCAAGAGAAATTAGAGTAAACCCAAGCCAATTAAGGCTGGAGAAGGGAGATTCATGGCTGTTCTTACCGAAAAATTAGGGAAATTTGCACCCACAATCAAGAGCAGCCAATGGAAGGACAGAGCAGAGCAGAGTAGATCCGAAAATTCTACAGAGGGGGGAAGATTTCCAAGCTTTAAATTTGGTTCTTGAACAAGAAAAGAAGGATAAAATCAAGCTTTCTACCGGTTTCCCGAAGGTGTTGTCGGGCTTGGCTGGTTCCTTGTTGTTCGGTGCAGGGAGAAGAAAAGAAAAGCAGACGTGCGGGTGAGGAAGAAAGGAAGAAGAAAAAAGAAGAAGAAAAAAGAAAAAGAAAAAGTGACTGACCCTTATCCAATTTTCCTCTTTAAAGTCCCTAAACTTTGAAATTTCGGTTATTAAGCTCCAAAACAATATTTTCTATCACAAAAACCCTTACTTAAATGCTAAATATCACAAAATTTTGGATATTACACAAATTTTATTTCTTTATTCTTCTTCTATCCGAAATTTGAGCACACAACATTAAATTGTATATTTATATATATGTATATCCATAATTACACATATACAACATTTCCCAAATTCATGGACAGAACATGGAGGAACTGGCTTTGGCAAAAATTGGCTAAGTCACGAGATTTTTCCATATCAACCTCACAGTAGCTAAATCAAGAAATTTCTACATGAATTAAACTAAAGACACAACTTGAAGTGCTACCAATTTCTTCTATATTTCGGCAAAAATTGAACAATACAGGGGCAGCAATTACATGGATAATTTTAGCAATTAAATGGGTAAAAGTTGAATTCAAGGGGTTGCCACTTACCCAAAATCTTCCGGCAAGTAACCGGGTCCGGCTAGGAAGGAAACCGATGGGGAAAAAGAAATGGAGGAACTCACGACAACTACAAAATTCAAGAACCCACAACAAAATTAGAGTAACCCAAGCTAAATTAAGGGAGAAAAAATGAATTCCATGGTTGTTGATTACCCAAAAATCGAGAAATTCACACCCACACCAAGCTAAAACTGACGACAGGGGAGGAGGAAGGTGGCTAGATCTGGAATTTTTCTTGCTTCAGGAGGCTTCTAGGTCCTAATTCTT